TTAGTCCAAATACTATCCTGAAGCAAGGCCAAATGTTCCTCTGTCCTGTGAATGTTAAGAGAATAAAGTTGTAAAATATTCTATTTAGTTTTTATGGAAAATCATTTTTTTACAATTGTAAACATATGTCTTTGCCAAGGTACTGCCTGATTGGGTTAATAATGAGCTGAATAGCCAATAATTAGGCAGAAAGACGTTAGGCAGAACTTCTGGATTAAGCTCTAGGAGGAAGTCACCAGGAGGGCAGAGGGAGCAAGACATGCAGGAGGTCAGGTAAGATCCATGAGTCATGTGGTAACACAGATAAATAAAAATGAGTTAATTTAAGGTATAAGAGCCAGTGGGATAAGCTATAGGCTGATCTTTCATAATTAATGATAAACCTAAAGGTCATTTTTGTTAGCTGGTTGCCCAATATTAAGTATACGTTGGTTAATATGTTTTGGGAATGCAGGTCATTTTCTGTGCAAAAAGTGTAATACTGATGCAGATGCTTTAACAAGTTATCAAGAAGACACAAGGAAGCAATAACAAAAGTGACTACATCAAACACTGATTTTCAATGAAAAGTATGTCATCTCCAAGTAAAACTTCCACAAAGATTATTTCTAACAAAGCAGTGGTGTCACACGCCTTTGAGTCAATCACACAGGAGGCAAAGGCAAGTGGATCTCTGTGAAATCAAGTCAGCCAAGTCTACAAAGCAGGTTTCAGAACTGTTAATCAGAGAAACCCTGTCTCAAAAAAATAAATAAATAAATAAATATTTACTTGATTCCAAACAAATATAAATTGACTGGCTGTCCTGAACTTTAAATTTGAAAACTGCTGATTTATATTTGAAATTACTAATGCTCTTATGAATTCTGCTCTAACTTACCTACTTACACTGCTCTAACAGTACCCTATGACTGGAACACTATAGTTGAATGCAAGAGTTAATGTTTGGCAAGCATTTTAAATGAATTCTTAACATTTATCACTAACTAAAATATTTTTTGACAAAATATTACCATGACAAACATGGCCATCCAAGAGCGCTGATGGGGTTATATATAAGCAGTTAAGGTTTTCTTACTACTTGATTTCTGGTTCTAGTTTGATGGCCCAGTTTACTATGTTACTAGGTTTAACTAAAACTTGTATTAATATTCTTCGTTTTGTCTCCAGAGTACAGGATCATAGATATGTCCTAAAATATACACATTAATGTATAATTTCAGCTGTTATTATTTGAAACAATAATGTGTAAAGCTACTCTACATATTAAGTTAGATAAGTAAAAACACTAAAAATTTCCCTGGGTGTACATAGGTGTGATCTTTCTAAATGAATGGTAGAAATAAGGCTAAGTACATAAGGTGAATGGTAGGTGTGCGTGGTAGACTGTGATCTTAGCACTACAAGTGTATCTCAATATCAGGTTAGTTACTATGCAAATCAGGAATTTCTAGGTTCAAATGAGATACCCAGTCTCTATAATGTGGAAAGCAAGAAAATATGACAACTTTGTTCTCAACATGAATTTGCATTAACATACATAAAAATGTAGTTTCTGCAACATACACATGCATATACACACATGAACACATGTGAAAAATAGAAAACTTTTGTTTATCACTTGTGACTCACAGCAAAAATGTCAACATACTACTAACAACATATTTGGAAGTTTCTGAATCCAACAAGATTGATTTGAATGTGTTCAATATTTCAGAGGGAAAGCCAAGAGCAGGGTTGAAGGAAACAGCAAAAAATCATGCATTAAACAAAGAGCTAATGAAGTATTAAGTTTCATTCTTTTATAAATTGCCACAAACATCACAACTGCTAGAAATCATTACCCTAGTGCAAGTATTGTGGTTCTATGGGTAAAGATACATGATGATGCAAAGCCTGACAATCTGAGTTCCATCCCTAGGGCCATCCCTGGTCTTCTTGTATATTTTCATAAGTATTTCAACAAATGGATCTATAATACTTGCTACTTATCTTTGTTTCATTAGTAGATGTACTCTTGTGCCTTTAATTGCCAGGTTTCTTTTTAAGTAAAAGTTCCTTATCAAGAAAATAACTCATCCCAATAAACTTAAATGGCAAATATAACACATTTCAACAAATGCCTTAAAACATCCAATCATATGGTAAAACACACAAAATATAGCCAAATATTTAAGCATTATAAGAATAGTCAGCTTTAATATTAGAGTCAGCAAATTAATGGATTCTTTGTTCTCTATTGCAAATCTTAAAACATGTCCTGACACACAAAATTTGTAACATAATGAACTGATACATTTGTTCAATAACTAATAATATGGTAAAATTTGTTATGATGGGATCTGTCCAACTTAATCAAGTGTAGAAGAAATCAAAAGAACAGGCTCTTGCCATACTCACCGTATTCCACAATGTACATGCTCCATAAATATTACCCTTTCCTCCGGATTGATATCACTTACAAATCCAGAATGATTCATCCCATTTATCAAGACTTGGGAGTTCCATTTTTATACATTCTTATTTCCATATCATCAGGTGCCTATGCCTTTTGTGATCCATGGACATTTCAAGTTTTGCTTTCAACAAAATAAAAACGCAAAAACAAATTATCTCAAAACATTTATGAAAAGATATTGGAGAAAGTGGAAAAGTGCAATACTGCACTTTCCAGGTCTGTGGATGCAATGATCTCACACCCATCATTATTATTTGCTTTTATTTTTTCATGATTTTTTGCTTTCATTTTTAAGAAAGCATGTTGTTATGCAACATAGGGTGGGCCTGGAACTTGTAATCATCACCTCAGCCTCAAGTGCTGGGATTACAAGTATGTACCACCACTATGCCCATCTAAACAAATAGTTTCTACTAGAAAAATAAGCAATAAAATATGTAGTGAGGCACATTGACTAGATTTCAGAATTATTTCAAGCTCATTTCTTTAAATCATTTTTTGTCAAACAAGGTCCTATGTCATCATAAACGTAGTCAAGGCCTTTTCAAAATGCTCTCTTTTTAATCAAAAGATTACATTACCTTGCATTCTTTATGTTTCTGTCTTAAATGCAGTTATTAGTATTTACAGTCTTGTTATAATACTACAGGGTGGTATTCAGTCTCATGAAACTTCATAACATTCACTGATGAAATTCTTTTCAGTCATCAACTAAATTGACAAAAGGACATCATCTGAGACTAAGATAACATGAACATAATATATATATATATATATATATATATATATAAATTATTTCAGGATTGGATACTGTTTAACAAAAAGAATAAATAGCACACCTTAATGCATAATATAATTTTCATATTCTGAGATGAAAAACATACATTAGAATGCAATCATGAATAAGAATAAAAAAATCATAATATTAATTCTTAAATTTAACCATTTCACCTATTTAAAGTAACTATTTTATAGACATAGTAACAAGTTTGGAAATTTTTAGGCATCTAATTCCTAGTGGCTTATCACTTTAATAATTCACTTTCTATCTCCAGTGCCCTATAAGAATTAAGAAACCAGTTACCAATATATTAATATCAGACTTCTAAGAATACTTGGACAGGTCATAATTAAGAACTAATTAATACACTGAAAGTTTCCATGACTTCCATTTTTTTTTGAGACATGGTTTTATCTATAAATAGCTATCCACTAACTGCATATATAGCCAAGAACCTGAACTAGTTACTAATCCCCCTGACTTCCTTTCCTAATGTTGGGTTCTACCAATAAAAATGATTTATGTTTTTGGGAAATAAATTTCATGGCTTCAAGCATGCTAGGCACAAGGTTATTGTTTTCTAGCTGAGTACATTTGTTTTTTCACATTTTCCCATAATAAACCTCCATATGCTCTGCTAAAGAAAAGAAAATGAATGAGATGGTGGTGGTGTATGGCCTCAATCTCAGCACTAGGGATCCATAGATAAATACATATCTAAGTTCAAGACTAGACTAGACTGGTCTACAAGGGGTCCAGGAACGTCAGGAACATACAAAGAAATCCCATCTCTGAGGTATAAAAGAGAAAGAAATTTAAATGATGCCAATCAAAGATATTTAGGGAGACACAGATGGAGAACTGACTATTGAGAAAGGAAGATTTAGTGTATTTTAGAGAAAAGAAACAATAATTTACCTAACAATACACCATTTTTTGCTTTCATTTGTGTGTATAACTATAGATGTACTTGGAGTACATGAGAAGAACTAAGAGGGAAGGAGGGGTAAAAACGATATAAATACAATAATCATGTATTAGATTTCCATTTAGTTAAATATAGGTAATTTACCTATACCATTAGAAATGTCTTCCCACTGTAAATAAAACAGCTATTGTTGATGACTAATTCAAATTAAATTAACCTACAAAGGAATTTCTTTACTATGACTCAAAGACCTCATCTGCTTCTCTCAATGCATGTAGTTATTACTACACTAATGGTGAAGACAGATAAAAGCTTAATATGAAATTGAGATTGCCATATCCTTATATCAAGCATGCACAACTTTATTTCCCAGTGCCTATGCACTGATACTTATTTAGGTTTGGTAGATTAATACTTAGAATAATAGATTTCATTCCTAGATAAGGTCTTTCATACTATATGGATTACAAACAATTTTAAATCCTGGAATAACTTTCTCAAAAGCAAATGTTTTAATTAATGATCACAGAAAAAGATAAGCTACTATCATAATTCAAGTGAATTTAATTATGTGAGTAACTCTCTAAACATCCCTAAGTGTGACAGATTAAAGTGACCAGAGGGTCATGTGAATTAAATCTTCAAGATTTTGACCAGTAAATTAATGCATGAAGTAAATGTCAGGAATCAGGAAAAAACACCATAATCATTTTATCCTAAGGTAACAGCTTGAATAAACTGTTTTTCTGTATTTACCTCTTTTACAGTAATTTCACACAAAACACATTAAGGTTCACTCTGACTCTAACAAAATCGACAAAGGAAAACCTCAATTCAATTGCTCTATGCATTTATTAGCTATAATTAATGCAGTAAGGAAGTGGTCATAAAGCTTGCAGGCTACACAATTTCACAAGACACAATGCAGGGAAAAGGTAAGGCTGATATTTATCAACCATATCTTAGGGTCTTGGTGGACGCATTCCTGGGGGAGGTGGGCCTAGAAAGGAAAAATAACAAAGTTCTATTAAAGTTATCAAGAGTATATAAATATTAAAGGATCTGGATGGCATTCCCAGATGTTAACATAGCCACTAACCTCTAATTCCTGGTGGGGGGGGTCTCATTCCTGGAGGGGGCATGCCTATAGGTGTCCCTCGAGCAGGGGGAAGGCCAATTGGTGGGCCCATGGGTGGTCTCATACCAGGTGGAGGAGCCATAATTCCTGAATAAAATGACAACCATAAGTAAACTCTTCGTAAGTCAACTCAGTAAATGATGCTCTTATGATTTAGCACAAAACAGTGGTTAAAGAAATGAGCTAAGACTGTGAGCAAGAAATGAAGTTCCTTGTACTTTATTAATAGAGTACCAACCTAACTGCAAAGATTCTAAAATCTTTCATGCAACCTAACTTCAAACCCTGTGATCTAAAATGGTGACCTGGCAGAAAGTTACACTGGTACACACTGGTGACAAATACTATGGGAGTAACTAAACATTATTTGGTTGCTTTCCTTGAGTAGAAACTTGTCTCAGACAAAGGTCCTAAGATGACCAAGAATATGGATCTAGATAGGCCATGAACCTAGGGGAAAACAAAGTCTTACTATTACACTAGAGGAATCTAGAAATAACAACATTCTGGTATCCTCATAGATCAGTGACTTGTTCAACCATTGTCAATGGAGCTTCCTCCTCCTGTAGATGGAAACAAACTTATGAGATCCGTAGGCAGACAATTTACAGTGAGAAAGTTCTTTGAATATTCAGTCATAAATGGGATGCCTGCACCAAATCCTTCCCCTTGGGGCTGAGGAAACTCTACTTAAGAGGAAAGACCTTAGAGTCAGTGAGTATGCAAGACAATTGGGAAACAAGGCCCTCCAGACACAATAGCAATTATGCACACAAACTTAAGAGACAGTCGTAGCAAACAGAACCTGCACAGGTCTAAGCCATATGGGAGTATCAGTACTAGAATAGAAGTAAACACAAGTCCTCATACCTACAGCAGAAACTATTCCCAATTGATAACCATTTGCAAAGGAAAAATAAAGTCTCAATGGATATACAAACCACATTAAAGACAGGCAATATGCCTAGCAGTAGGGCCAACACAATACTGACTCAAGTGTTTTTTGGAAGGGTTTTCTCTCATAAAGCTTTGTCTGAATACTAGTAATTTTTAACTTTATAGTTCTTTTGGTTATGTATTATGGTTTCTGGCTTTGTTTTTATTGTTTGAGTTTTCTGTGTATTCACAAGTATGTTTTTGGTATCTATGTATGTTTCTTCAGCTTTTACTATAGTTGTCTTTTTCCATTCTTTTTTGTTCCTAACCTAGTTTATTTGGTTTTAAGTACCTTATTTTCTTTTATTACTACTTTTTTGATGTCTGCTCATATTCTAGTTAGAGAAAATAAAGGTGTAAAGGTGTCAAATTGAGTAATTATGGAAATAGGGAGGAGTTGTTGGAGAAGAAATTACAAACAGAATATAGATTCTTAATATATTTTCAATAAAAACTAAACAATAAAGATAGGAACATAGTTACTCAATTCTTAGCAAGGCAAATAAATGATGCCTTATCTCTTTCATAATACTTTGATATGTTATTTCTTCAAGAAAATAAAATCTCTTAGAACTCGAAATTATTAATATGTATCATAGAGCCCTTACCTGGAGGCGGAGTTGCTCTGCCTACAGGTGGAGGAGGTGTTCCACGCCCTGGTGGATATTGTGTTGGAGCTCCAGCAATGCTGGCAGTGGCAGCAACTGCAGCAGCCGCTACAGTGCCTCTTCCCTGTGGAGTCATGACCTGAAAAGTTATGCCAAAAATACAAAGATCAGGAGTACTCATTTCCAAAGCATATACAGAATTAGTATGTTCTATTACAATTACTAATTGCTACCTTGTACTTATCTTACTCTAGTTTTAAGTTGATAAGGAATAAACCCAGGAGTATAAGCATGCTAAAGTATATATTCCTGCTGAGTTGCAGTTTTGAGGCAAAATTATTAGTTTTTTATTTGTTATTTTTGAGACATAGTCTCTCTATATAATCTTAGCTATCCTGGAACTCAGAGATGTGCCTCTCTCCAGAATTTGGAAATCAAAGAACTTCTGCCTCATGTTTTTAAATCATAGCATATCACAATTTCATAAGATTTTGTTTGATTTTTCAACCTGGCATATACAGCTGAATATTTTATTACTCATCAAGTCAGGTAGCATATACTGGCCTCCTCCTTATACATGCTTGAGTTATCAGGTCTTTCTAGAACATATACAACTTAAATGGTATAGTTACACAGATATGTTTCTACATTTACTCAGTTCTAGGTAGGCTCTAGTCATATTTTTTCATTAGTAGAAAACCTTGTATTAGTCCTACCTGCTGGGATGGACCTCCAACTCCTCGGACAGGACCTGCTAATCCAGCAGGAGCTTGGGGAATAGGTACACCAGCTGGTACTCCTCTTCCAGCTGCCCTCCCAACCCCAGGGCCACCTGCAGCGCCAGCAAGTGGCACACGAGCAATACCAGTCTAAAACAAAAACAAAAAAAAAAACCAAACAAACAAAAAAAAACATGTATTTTAAACAACATGTCTATTTTGTTTTAATATGAGTGACTTTATTCAAAGGAAATTCTATCAAACATGTTAGAAGCTCCTATAAGTTTTAAACAATAAATACATGTGATGGTATAATACAACAGATTATCTACAGTGTCCTTCAGATTTGGAATACTTAATATAAAATTATGAACTTACATCCTTACATAAACAAAGAAGTCAACTCCTTGCTTATTTCCTTTCCCACCCTCCAAAATTGACTTATACCTTCTGCTTTTTCAGTTCTCATATTCACTTTCCTTGTAACAGAAGTATCATATTGTTACCAGAATATTAGCAATGCTTTGGGTGATTTAAGGAGCATGTCAGTTCTCAATACACTAGAAAGGAGAAATAAAGTACACGGCAAAGTCTAAACTTTAGTACATTTCTGCACAGATTTGTGCATATGTGAGAGGTTGTCTACTTTGTCCAGTGATTGTTCTTTAGAGTTAGACCACTATATTGTGTGTTTGCTAATCATTGCCTGTAGGCACCAAAAACTGTTAAAAAAAATGTTATACCCTAAGTAGAGTAATATAAAACATTTTATTTTTAAAATTTCATTCCTTACCATAAATTAGGGAGCCTATAGGTGAAATCATAAACTCTTAATTCATGAAGATACAGCTGAACCAGTTACTTATATTAAGTACTAGGCACATTTTGATTATATATAATTAGTGTCCCTCTACATATATTGATAATACAATCAAGTAACTAAGTAACATGCACATTATAGATGTGCCCTTTATGTATGAATTAAAAACAAAAGTCAAAAACATATAAATCTTGCCCTACATCCTCCTTACATCTTTAGGAGGTGGACCCTCCACAGTCATGGATACCAAGTTCTCTCCACGTAGCAAGACCAGACCCAAAACCCGTTTTTCTTCACGCTCTGGTTGTTTTGCATTCTTTGGCCTATAAATCAGAAGTCAATAAAAATCACTTAAGTAAATTTTTGACATCTTTACTTATCAAAGGTAACAATTAGACAAAAAGTAGTGCTAAGCTTCTCATGTATAAAGTAATTTATTTGCCTAACTATTCTGTGGACATAATTACCATGCATAAATAGTATAATTATTTTCCTATGTATGTTCCCTGGACATTACACAAGTATCCAAAATGATCTGCAAAATATAGACGTAATGGCATGACAAAGCATTTTAAGTTGGGTGAGCTTAAAGCCTCAATTATACTAACAATATAAGTGCATTAGAAGTTATTATAACCAACTAATATTGACAGAGTATTTGACAAAGTTTGAATTTTGCCAACATCATTTGCATTCAATGACATGGATACCATAAGGATGTGATCTAGTTCTGAAAAGATGATGAGGTAAGATGACAGAATGGTCATATTACAGTTCCTGTATCACTTCAGTCACCCTATGTGATATTATTCCAGCTCAAGTCTATCTACTGCTTCTGTCTCCCAAATCATGACCCAATCAAGACTTACTTGATCTTCCTGAACTCATCACAATCACAGAGGATCAAATTCATATGCTTGTCAAAAGCCTTAAAAGTGCCAATGAAGATTCTTCCATCTTGCAGGATGCATCTCATCCTATAGTCAATGTGTTGCAGCATCTTGCTACTCTTACCCACCGTCTACAAATATTAAAGGAACATAGAGGGTAAATTCATGTGTAGTTAGTTTTCTATGTTCGTTTATTATGTATACCTACAAGGTTTGTCTCCCTTTATTCCTCTTCATTTCAAAAATACTGAAATATCAACTTGACTAAGAGCTACTTTAAATAGTTCTGTACTTCTCAGAACCTAAGTAAGGACCTATCCTGTCTACTAGGATCATAAAATGTATTCTAAGATGGAAACGCCTCAACATAGTTTCCTTTAGACTTGCTAGAAAAATTGTTATGCTTTTCTCCCACTAAATGACCATAAACAGAGTATCTGCCCTCTAAACTATTCTTGTAAACCTAAAAAGACTTATAAAAATTATAAATACCACCAACTCAATGAATTCATTATTATCCACTATCCCTCTCTCCAAAGGCTCCCAGAATCCATCATACCCACATCACCATTACAAAAAAACAAAATCCTTATAATTTTTTTAATCAGGAACTAAGGAACAAGACTGGCACTGAACTTGTTACACAGATGAGATTGAGCTCTTATTTTTCCTACCTCTTCCACCCAAAATCCAGGGTTTAAGATCTCAAACACAATTCTTGGCATTGGAAGTAACATCTTTTCCCTTAATAATCTGTGTCATACTTTAAAATTTATGGTATTCCTGATTTCGAAAAATCTCCCCATATCTACCTTTATTTCTGTTTTAAAAATATTTCCAAGTAATATGTGTATGTTCTGCAATTGGACTGAAGAATCCTATAAGGTGACTAAAAACTAAATGGTAAGACATCCCTCAGTATTCTTTCAAAAAATTTGATTATCACTAAAAGGATAAAGCCCATCTCTTACCTGTTATACAATGGGATGAGCATACATCTCTATTAATGAATTCCTATTTCTAAATTTTAGTACCTAAAAAACTGCACACAAGGAGAAACTATGATTTGGGGTCATTGTAGCAGCTAATCTACTTACCATGATTGCTGTTCCACAATAGCCGTTTAATAGTAAAATTTCAAGATCCTTAATACTTGGGAGCAGTATAAATAAAGGTGTGATACAGGTTCACTTAGACACAATGTAAGGTTGACTGAAGAGTCACAGACAATAAATGGGTCCTGCAGAGGGAAGAACATTGTAACTATATCTTAATCTATTATGGTTTAAAAATAAATAATTTTCAAATAGTGTATCTTCATAAATATCCATGTGTGCATATCTAATAAAGAACAAATTTCAGCCCTGTCTTAATACTCATTATACCCATGAGATCATTGAAACCAATTGGCTACCAGTACTGCAAAACTTCCTGTGTGTATATGTTAGTGGTTCCATTTAGAGCTGTCATCCTTTATGGCTAACATGTCAATAGAGTTTACTTTTACCTCCAGAAATCCACCTGTCTCTTACTTTCTAGCAAATGGTTTTACAAACTTCATCATTAGCCTAGTGCCCAAGGTCATAAAGTGACATTGAACCCCTAGAAACAGAAATTACAGTTGTGATCCTCAATGTGGGTGCTGGGACCAATCCCTGGTATTCTTTAGAAACCAGTGAGATATCTCTCAAATCCTTTTCGTCCCCAAAATTTGGTAGTGCCTTATTACTCTTTCGTTCAAAATCTACTTTTTGGCCTAACATGTCTAAAACTACTGGCTCCATCTTCAAAATCAAGATGTGTAATCTTTCCCCACCAAGAAACAAGTATGACAATAACCAGTATAAACTATAGAAGCTGATCTCTCTGGAACATGGTTATAATCAGAGTATTCAGAATGCTGAAACAGAAGTTCAATGGCTGGATGGCACACAACTGAAAGACAGCTAGAAGGCTTTTAATGTCTAATCTATTTGTGAACCCTGTGACCTAAATAACAACCATCTTGGCCTGGATGTTAAGGGAGTAATAAATAGCATTCTAATTTAAATGTAGAAATTTTTAACACTGATTAATTCAATTTTTTTTGAGACTCTTTTTACATAACACTGGCCTGCCGGGAATTCATAATGTTAATCCACCTGTCTAGGCTTTCCAAGTGCATAGATTAAAGGCACACAAGATCATGCTCAGATAAATTGACTAAAGTTGAGATGGCTCAGTGGGCTGAGATGAGAGCTCCCGGTATTATTTCCCAGAGGGTTCAAGTTCACCTCATACAATCAAAATGAAAACTTATTACTATATGTCTCTATATATAGATCCATAGAATCTTGCTGCCTTCTTAGCCTCTGCAGTTTCCTGAAAAATCATAACGTTTATTTTAATAAATAATGAACTTAAGATTTGTTCCACAGGCCGGCATGCCTTGTACTAAAACCTGGCCAAGAACCCCGTCGCTGAGGAATATAGGTATTATGGGGGCAACTACAACCATTATTGTTAAATTGACATAGTATCAGACCTCCCTCTAAATACTTAACCTTATACCCATAGATTTGTTCATTTCTCATCTCTTAATCTGTGAAGATTCTTTATATGGTATTTGGTGGTTAACAGACTTGTAAATGGTCAATGTGCAGAAAATAAGCAACAGTGGAATATTCAGTCCTAAATTTTATTGTACACCTACCACCCAGTCTAAACAGCCATCAGAAGTGGTATAAAGATTATGACCTTAGAGTGCTTCTTGGAAATAGTTTCTGTACATAGCAGAGTTGTTGTAATTACAGAATTTTATAGTAAATATATAGGGATGGCTGCACAAGACTTAATCAGTCAACATTCCAACAAAGATGGACGGAGTAGACTTAGAAGGCCTCATACTTTCCTTGCACACAACTGTCAATTAAAAACTAGTGAACATGAGGATGTCAGTTTATCTCAGTGATGTAGCTTACAGTCCAAGTCCAAGTGGGTAACACTATATGAACACAGTAAGTTATTTAAAATTACATTAAAAAAATGACAACAGGAAGTTGAAAGAAGGTTCAAGAAAAGTGAAAAAGGAATTGTGACTGGATATGATTTAAGTACACTGCAAACATATAAAAACAGCAAAGAATGCTGGGCATAGTGTCACATGCCTTTAATTATTGCACTTGGAACGCAGAGAGTAGAGGTGTTTGAGTTTGAGGACAATCTGTTCTACACAAAATATCCTGTTAAGTCATAGCAACACAGTGTGAAGTTGTCTAAAAAATAAAGTGTAAAAGAATAAATAAATGAAGAGATTACTCAGCAGTTAAGAACAGTGGCTGCTCTTCCAGGGGACCCAGCTTCTATTTCCAGCACCTACATGGCAGCTCACAAACATCTCCATTTCCAGGAGATCTGATGCTTTCTTCTGTCCACACATGGTACATAAGACATACATGCATGCAAAACACCATGAACATAAAATAAACTTTTAAAATATAGAAATAAAACAGCAGGTGTTATGGCCCATACTTTAATCATAGTATTCTGGAGTCAATGTCAGGCAGTTGTTAGATAAAATCCCAACCTGTACTACAAAGTGAATTCTAGCCAAGTGAAGTGTGCATAGTAAGATCCCATCTGAATATTAAATAAAACCTGATTAATAACTCTAGCATCATAGTATATGCCTTTATCATTTCACCATCCAATTCATAAAGGCAATGCTTTCTTGGCCACAGAGCGAATCTAGAGTTACATGATTTATAGTAAGCCGTGATCTCAAAAACACAAAAAAGAGCAGATGGAGTATATGGAGAAGAAACACTAACTGAAAATATAAAATGGTTATGTGAAAATATTCAAATAAATTAGTTTGGGGCATAGAGATGTCTCAGCAGTTAAAACACTATTTTATCTTCTAGATGATCTAATTCCTGCCAGTGTCATGTCTCAGAACTTATCTCCAACTCCAGTTTCTCAAAACTTGATGCCATCTTTTACACTCTGTATGCATATGGTGCACAAATATGCAGGAAAAAAATCACATACATACTAATATTTTATAATTAAAATATTTAGAGCCAGGTGGTAGTGGCACACACTTTTAATCCCAGCACTCAGGAGGCAAAGGTAGGTGGATCACTGAGTTTGAGGCCTGGTCTACACAGATTGTAGGGCTATAATATAGAAATATCCTGTCTCATAAAACAAGAAATAATTTGGCTTAAAAGAAAATGATCTTCAAAAGCCAAAACATATTTCAACTGCTTTTTTTCTTAAAAGAATGAAATCTAAATAAATCTTCATCACAAAACATTATGGATAATATTTTATTACATTATGTGCTAATTCTTGAGAATTGTAAGCCTACTGAATAATAAAATATTTATAGATAGCATACAGTTCCTTTAAGGTAATAAAGGCTAATACAAAAATTTGTTACATATTAACAGAGAAAATATGGTATTGTGACCTTCACTAATAAATTAAATAAAGTATGCTTCCTAGTTTTTGTTGTTTGTTTATTTGTTTTATCAAGAAAAGTTTTCTCAGTATAGCTTTGTAGACAAGGCTGGCCTTGGACTCAGAGGGAGCCTCCCCCTCTGGCTCCCAACAGCTGGGATGAAAGGCATGCTCTACCACTGCCTGGCTTGAAGTATGTTTCTTATAATGTTTAAAAATAAAGGAAAAAGAAAATTAAAATGTCCTTAATGCATTCTAAATAGTGTATGAAAACATGATGCTCATTAGAGTAGATATACTAAAATCATAATTATTCTGATACCAAATGTACAAAATATCTGTTTCTATTGCCGTTATAAAGTATTCAATAAAAGGTAATTTTTATCAACTAAACTCTAGATGCTGTATTTCTCTTATTTCTGTTAATTTTGGAATTAACTCTAACCTGTTTTCCTTGATCTCCACCACCTTTGATGTTTCAATACTGTTTTAACCACCCCTTGGTGTCTCAGCTAAAAATGCCTGTCTAAGTTCTGCCTGGAAATCAACCACAGGAACTTGCTGCTGCTGCTGCTGCTGCTGAGAACGCCGTGGGTACAGGTGACACCTATAGCAAGAACACAATATCTTTAAATCACAGAAAAACATTTATCAATGCAGACAGCAATACACCTTTATTCTAGAGAGCCTACTTTTTAAAAGGGTCATCTGACAAAGGCTAGTATATTTTAAAACATTCCATTTAGGTACTGAATGTAATATTATACAGTGAATTAGGCAATGTATGCACCAATAAAGTTCTGCCCACAATAATGAACCACAACCACTAGATACTTATAATCAGTATGTGGATGTACACCCTAGAGTACTCATATAGAACCATTCAATATCATATGCACACATTTTCCAGTTGTATTTATTATGTGAAAACAATACTTTCACCCCTGTGACAAGGCAAGGGATTTGCTAAGAGTTATAAAACATTAATTCGGTCATTCCTACTTATCCTCCCAAGAAGGCACTACCTAATCCTAGTGTCCTAACTGACTTCTTTCCCTACATGCCATATAATATTTATACATAATAGAGATCTGAGGAACTCAAATTTTTCTCCTTCAAAGTCATCAAACTGCCAAATTTGGTCACACATGTCTATAATAGCAGCACACAGGAAGGGCAGACAAGTGGACTGACACAAGCTCACAGTAATTTTAGTTTATTATATAGTACATTACAAATGATATGTGAGAATGAGACCCTATCTTAATAAACAAACAAATAAATAAATGGCCCATCAGTTATTACACCACCTAGAATGTACAAACAATACAATCATCTCAGGACCAGCTTGCGCCAGGGCAAGAACCTGTTTCAAAGTGTGCATACACACATGGACACATTCACACTCATACAGACATGAAAGCAAAAAATGAGGGGTTATAGAGATGGTTCAGTCGTTAAGAGCAACAAACTGTTCCTAGGATTACTGTTCAGTTTCCAACATCCACATGGTGGCTCAAACCTTCTGTTAAGCCCAGTATCATAGAACCAGATGCCCTCTCCTAGCCTTGGTGGATACCAGCTACATACATGGTGCAGACATACATGCAAGCTAAATACCCACCCATAAGATAAAAATAAATCTTTATAAAATTTATACCCATACAATTAATTCAAACATCAGGGGGAAAGTCACATTACAATGAATGAAAGAGTTAACAAGCCATGCATATCGGTGCATTTTTAATTTCAGAACTCCTGAGGTGGAGCCAGGTAAGTTCAAGCCATCAGGGCTGCACAGAGAAATCCTGTATGTAAAATTAATAAATAAATAATAGAAGTTGACTTAAGTTAGAACAATTAAGGATTTCATTATTTTGTTACATCTTCTGTATTGGGTATTCAATTAACACTGTGATCTCTGTGTATGACACTTGTGACTTGGTTTTTAGCCCAGACTTTACATACTCTTGGTTGCTCAGTGAGGCAGTCCTTCTACGTTTGACCTGGACTTCCACCTCTGGCACGTGCTGTTCAGTAGTTCTTCTCAGGTGTAAGCGATCCCTGAAATAGGAAAAGAAATCTTCACAAAACAAAATTTTATTTAAATGGATTACTAAGGGTTGGGACTAGTTCTAAGATTTCTTGCCTAGAAAACAGGAAGCCCTAGGATTCAGTCCCAGCATTTTCTAAGCAGAGAGAGTGGTAGGTATATACCTGTACTCTCACCGCTAAAGAGATGAAGATGGGGTTATAAATTTGAAGTCCAAGAACACCCTCAGCTACCTACAAAAATTTGGATCAGCCTTGGATATGAGTCCTTACACTGAAAAATATACATAGGATTGATAAAATGGCTTGAGATAAAGGTCATTGCCAGCCACTGATACAAACCAGATAATCAAATGCTAATACCTAGACCTTTGAAAATATGGATGGAGAGAACCCACTCCATATATGCCATAGAATGCATGCTGCCTCTCCCTCCATCACAAACTAATAAAATAAAATTAAATGTAAAACGGTCTTCATTTATAACCTATAATTTTAGTATGCTGAATATTAACACATATTAATAATCTAATTAAAATTTTGGCAAGGTGTGCCTTTAATTCCAGTACTTGGGAGGCAAAGGCAAGAACAACCCTCGAAATTCAAAGCTAGTCTGTTTTACATATTGAGTTTTGAGCCAGTCAGGGCCAACACATGAGGCCATGTCTCAAATAACAGTGATCAACACATGGAAAATTTAGAATGTTTTCTACTTAAAAATATTAGAATCTCTAATTTAAACATAATCTAGCTTCCTTTAGCAAGACATTATATCAGAAAACCTGGATTTAAATATCAAGAAATGAAGTAATGTATTCATCTCCTACTAGTCTTTAACATATTTAAACATAATCTAGCTTTCTTTAGAAAGACATTATGTCAAAAAACCTGGATTTAAGTCAAGAATTTAAGTAAAATATATTTAATATATTCATCTCCTACTATAGTCTCAAACATATATGCAGATTTAACATACACATACCACATATGCACAGACATACAAATATATACAAGCCAAAAATAGCAAAGCTTACTCCAAATATTTGGGATTATTTTTAGATCATGATCCTTTCATACAGCAAACTAATGAAGAATTTTAAAAAATCACATTGCAAAATTATTAATTAAAAATGACTATGTAAATTAGCTATTTGGGATTTATAAAGAAATAATAAGGTTGCTAAAACAATATGCTATCAACAAAATAGGGAAAAAACCCACTACCATTTTAAGGTCTGGGAGCACTTCACAAAATAGCCATTTTGTTAAACTGAAAACTGACAGCCTCAGGGTGGCCATGTTAGGGACTGCCACTGATATTAGAAATACAAAACCAGAAGACAAAAAAAAGTCTTGACAAGTCAAGAAGGATTCTCAACAGAATCCAAATGCCAATTGTCTGAATCCTGCCTATTTTTAAAACTGGCAAAAGTTTTAGATTAAGCACTTTACCAGTAATTAACAGGGCTTTTTTTTTTTTTTTTTTTTTTTTTGCTTATCTGTTTGTTTTAAGAAAACATCAACTGCTGTACTAAAGAATCCAAAGAAAATGAATTAAATTTAAAAACAGGTTAAGATTTCCAAAAGACAAAATGACATCTGTATTATAAGCAACTTAATATACTGAATTTTAACCAAGATTGCATCGGTTCACTGCACACTCCTATGATACAAGCTTGCCACAGGTATTAAGATAAGCTGGACTTTATAGTGGGACAATCCCAAAACAAAGAGAAAAGATTATATAATTTATAGATTGAAATCAGATTTTTAGAACAAAACAAAAATAATAAAAAAAATGGTGGTGGAGGTTTTAGAGATGATGGAATTTCACATGGAAGACATACCATGAACAAAATTTTTACAGCTTTCATACCAAATAGATAAAAAGTGCAAAACCAGCTTTCAAAACAGGTAAGCAGGTTTCCTAATTTACATTATATACTAGAATGCATTCATTTACAAACAGAAATGAAGATCTGATCCAGGCTGTTTACATTGTACTCAGAACTATATTTGATAATTTAATATTCTAAGACAGGGTCTCTCATGTATCCTGAGCTGTCTTCAAACAGGATGAAAATGAACTCCTGATTCTGATACATAAATGTCCTTAGGATCACAGTGCTATGATTATTGCTAGGGTGAAGACCAGCAGGCCCATTTTATAAAATTTGAATAAAATAGATAACCTGTCAACACAATTATAAGCCCAAATTCTGCCATTGCAAAGAAAATTGTCAAAAAATTCTTACCAATTACTGAGTTAATCAGGGCAAAAAATGGCTCTGTTCAATTATCACTACAAAATTATTTTATTATTTCTGTTTTCTAAATCTAACTTTTATAAACAGACACCTAAGAAGCTTATTTGAAATAAGTTCAAATGCAGGCATTCATATAAAAATGGCACTTCTAAAGATGATTGCATGCTCCAACATGCAAATAAGGAAAAAGTAAATGTTAAGGAATAATTTAGATCTGTGCATGTTTTATTATTGTTTATTGTTATTATTATTATTATTATTATTATAAATCACTGTCACCAGCAGATTCTATTTTGGAAATATATTGCAAATTAGAAGCCTTTATTCCTATAAGAATCTCGCAAAACTGTTTAGTATCTACTGTTTAAAAGTTAATGATAATCTCAGGGGAAAAAAAAGAGATCCTTGATACCATGCCAGTGTGTGCTCCCCTGACATTAGGAAAAGTTAGTGCCTTCAAGCAAAAATTTGGGGAAAACTGATGGCAGGAAAATCCTGGGCCAGCTGTCACACAGAATTGCCAAGATTCCATGCTACACTGTATGTAATGAGTTTAGGAGGTTAAAAGCAACAATTAAATCTCCAAGGCTGTAACCGACCCCCTCCACACTATTCCCCTCCCCAGAAAAAGGAAGGGACAGACAAGACCATAGGCGCCCCTTAATCCATATAAAGGAAACAAAATATAAAAAACCTTAGTGTGTTTATGATCGTTTTTGTTGGAAGCACTGAAGCACTTAAAACTCTTTCAGCAAATGATCAACATAAAATCTGAAGGATCATCACCAACTTTTACTATACATTCAGCTCAAGGTCATAATGGGCTCTATAGCAAGACCTGTTTCAAAATGGCAAATTCCAGGCCTCATAGCCCATGTCTGTTATCTTAGTATTTGGTAAACTGAAACAGGAAGACCAATCTAGTTTATACAGCTATAAAATTTTCTGTCTCTCCTCTGTCTGTCATCTCCCTCCCCACTCTCCATTCCCTTTCGAATAAGTTTTCTACATTGCACCTTTTTCAACAGTGAAGTTCCTTGATTAAAATACCTTCTAAATCAAAGGAAAGAAACACACCATTTTAAAATTAGTGTCTGGTAGAGTAACAATCATAACAGTTACAGGTCTAGCGAGATTGGACTGAGGCCAGAGCCTGAGTTACAGTTATACCCAGCCTTTAAACAATTAAGACCTTTTTCTGAGTTCCTGAAAATGGAGAAAGAATATTCAAAGGTGCGTGATTTAACATTTACAAAATGATGAGTCATAATAGGCAAATTGTAAAGAGTCAGAAACAGAAGTTGAGCCAAAAGATATTGGAAGCAATATGTTCCTACAACTTAATACTAAATAAATTGTGTCATATATGATATTTTAAAAGGTATGTTATTTTTTCACACTACTTGAAGTCTGGTACCTGAAGTATGAGGAGTGCAAGTTCAAGGTCAGCGTGCTCTACAGGAGAAAACAGTTAATCTTAAATTTATCCTATTTAAAATTACAACTTATGACAACCATATATACTCTCTACTCATAGATGGGAAGGAAAATAAGATATAAAAACAAGTACATAAAAATCCTGGAAAAAATTAAAAGTAAATACTTAAATCCATGTTTAAAACACTCACATCTGTGGTTCCAAGGATTACAGAAGGGAAGAGACAACTCCAGAGCAGCCTGGGATACTTACCACGCCTGCAATTTAATATGGGTTATTTCAGAGTCCTCAAATTTTTAAAACACGTATAATAAAAGAATATAAAAATGCAGCTATCTGGTTCATCATTCTTTCAAATTTTCAGAGTAGCTTCAACTTCAAAAATCATGAAATATATTAACTTAATACATCAATACAAATTAGTCATGAGAAATAATTCTTACATGATACACACCTATGTTTTTCTAATTATTTTCTACTCTTTAAGAAAATATATCTATGGGAGGCCTTACTCTCTCTGGAGCACATAGGAGGTGGGGGGAAGTGGAGGGAGTTGGGGGGGAAGTTGGTAGCGGGAACTGGAATCAGAATGTATAAAATAAAATACAATTTAAGAGTACTAGCTGCTATGGACTTGGGTAGGTGGGTTCATTGATGGACATGTTCCTCATCTTTTTTTGGAATGATGCTCCTATCTCCCATTTAGTCTAAACTATCACTGTGAGAGAATGGACTATCAAAACATTAGGGATGGATAACGTAATACTAACATTGAGGCAATTGTTAATTATCAAATCTGTAAAATAGAAATAAAAGGAATACACAGGGCTGAGAGCTGTTTAATCTGCCTTAATCTGACTACATACAAAACAATAAAAAGGTATTAAAATAATATATGCACATTAAACAATTATAAATCCTTACCTAGCAGGGAAAGCTGTCAGTCTTAAAACATCACCAATCGCTCCTGAGCTGGCTGTACTGTCTTTCTTAACTCTCACCCACCGAACTGGTCTTAGAAACCTCTAACCTCTTTATATTTTCCACACCCCCACCCCCAACTCCCGTGCCTGATGCCTTCCATAACCAAAGGTAGTGTATGTAAAAATCAGGACCAAGCCTTGTTGGAAGGAGCCTGCGCAAACCAGCCTCCTTTTCTCCCCTTTCCCATTGCGGCACTGCAAGGGAGGAGCAAAGAGGAGTTGCTAAATCATCAGGTTAAGGATATGGCTGCCATGCATTGCACACCAATACTGAGCAATCTCTTTGCTAACTCCCTTCTGGCCTCAATGCAGGCAGGGGCGGGC